ATATGTAACTGTACGAACACAGGCCATCAGCATTTCCACCCACTGAGCGTGGAACCCCAGCTTCAACATGACCTCCTCCAGGAAATTCCACTCCACACGGTCATAGGCCTTACTCATGTCTAGTTTAATCGCCATGCAACCCTTCTTGCCACGTCTACGCTTACGTAAATGGTGGGCCATTTCAAAAGCCACAATGGAATTGTCAGAAATCAATCTACCCGGAACAAAAGCAGACTGGTTTGGGGAGATGATGTGATGAAGGAGTCCTTTTAACCGGTTTGCAAGAACCTTCGCCCCAATACGGTAGATAACATTGCACAGGCTAATAGGGCGAATATGAGACATATTTCGGACCTCCCTCACCTTAGGGATTAAAGCAACAGAAGTAGAATTGATCCTTGAGACTGCCCCCGGACACCGAAAATACTCAGTGACAGCACGCACAACGTCGTCCCGAAAAAAGTGGGTCGATGGTGAAAAAAGCAGGAAGGGATAAGAGGTACAAGTGAAGGGAAATAGTTTTAAGGAAAAAGGGGAGGGTAGTTTAAAGAGCTGAATTGTGGTTTGAGGGTAAAGATGGTGGAGAAAAAAGTAAAGAGTGAAAGGGTAGGTGAGGACTTGGACAGAAAGAAAGGTAGACGTGGAAAGAGATGAGATTTGGAACTAGAAGTTGTCTAGGAAGAACTCAAACTAAGTTGGAAAAAAGAAGAACAGTAATACCACGAAGGATATGGAAACTCTCAGGTAGAGAGGGAAGCTCTCAAGAAGAGAGAGATGATCACTTCTTAACTCTTAGATTAAATCCAATGGTGGGTGATGACAACTCCCTTGGACCATAGGGTCCAGAAAACGAGACTGTATATATTAGGTGGAACAATTAGGTGATCCTGGGATCCTGGGATTTTGTGTTTTTGTTTTGTTTGTTACATTGGAGTTCAACAGGGTCGGAGCTGCATTGGGACAAAAGCAGTCCCAGGCCCTTACTCAGTTTTTATTATAAAAAAAGAAAGTAGTATGCTGCTATTGGATAATCCATATTAATTAACATATTTATTTTACCACATGGAGCCCTACCCAGCCAAACCTACGCTTCCTCCAAGACTACGCCTTCTTTTGCAAACCCATTCCCAAAAGTTTTAAGAGGAATGCTATTCACAATCGCTGTAAAGCAATTCTCGCGATACTTGTTAGACACGTGTACACACGTTCCCAATGTATCCTCCTTTTTATTTTTATTTTATTCTTCTCTCTTTCGTTCTCTCGGTTCTCTCTCTCTCTCTCTCTCTCTCTCTCCGTCTCTCTCCGTCTCTTTCTTTTTTTAATTTTCTTTCTCTTTCTTCTTCTTCTCTCCCTCTCTTTTATTATTATTATTATTCTTCTTCTTCTTCTTCTTTTTCTCAGTCTCCATATCTCTTTGTGTGTAAATTTGGTTAAATGCCAGATACAGGAGGCAAAGATTTGGGACGGAGGGCCTTAAATTTTTTGCCAGTAGTGTGATTATAGCCAAAAATGGTAGAAAAAAAACTGGTGGAGGGAAAGAAGAAGGAAAAAAAAGGAGAGAGAATAAGGGGGAAACTCGGAAGAAAAAGAGAACATAGAGATAAGTGATAAGGAAATAAAGAGGAAGATTTGTGTTTAGTTGTTCTCCGTGCTTAAGCCCCTTTATTAATAAGGAGAAGAAGCAGGAGAAGGAGAGAAAAGAGGGAGAGATAAAGACAGAAGTAGAAGTAGAAGAAGAAAGAGAAAGAAAATTAAAAAAAGAAAGAGAGGGAGAGAGGCGGAAGAAGAAGAGAGAGAAGAGAGAGCGCGAGGCAACCGAGAGAAAGAAAGAGATAATAAAAAAAAATAAAAAAAAAGGAGTACATTGGGAATGCGTGTACACGTGTCTAGCAAATATCGTGAGAGTCGCTTTAGAGCGATTGTGAATAGCATTCCTCAAGTTTTAATAAAACTATTATTATTATTATATTACCTTTTAACACAAATATTATCTTTTTACACAAATTGCTAAAAAGCAAAGAGATTTTAATTCATTTTTCTATTTTCTTGGAGAGAGCAAACTTTCTCAGTGTTTGTGAGTTTTTCTCTCAAACTCAATATTATATTATCATTTTAAAATTAGGTTAATTCATAGATGAATGATTGCTTGGTTGCATATATTGAGGAAAAAAAAAATTAATAGTATATATGACGTGGTTGTTATGCAACTATTTCAAAATATGAAAACTTGTCGAGGACAATTATGAATTGTAATGATTTTTTTTTTTTTTTGAGTCAAAATTATGATTATAATGAATAGGCAATATTATTTTTGATGTTTTGGTATGTCTTGAGTTCGAATTTTTTATTGTTTATATTTTGTTACAAGCCCCTACATATGGCTTCGCCACTGGAGTTCAACCTTGGGGTTCAAACTGGGGTGTCATAGGGGGAAGGAGGAAGCCACCACCACTATGGTCGCAACCCATTGGGTTTCCCTTATTTCAACAAAAAAAAAATAATAATAATAATAAAATGATAGAATTCCAAGACTTGGTCAGTCGAAGCACGCGTAGTTCAGTATGAAAAGTCCAATTCAAACCGGTCCAATATTCAAAGCCAAATTTAAAACTAAAATTGCTATATTTTGAAATATGCTATTAGATCGATCATCGATGTGGAGTTGCCCATTCTTACTTTGTAACTTTTCAAACTCTTATTTAATTGTTATTGGCTAAGAAAAGAAAAAAAACCATTGAGATCATGTGTTTTCCTTTTTAAAGGAAAAAAAAAAAGAAGAAGAAGCTACATGGAAGAGAAAGGAATAAAACCAAACAGGCAACAACTTGGAGCGATCTGTGGACTAAAGAAAACGATCAAATGGCACAATATGCCTGTGCAGCATACTCTGTTTCACCGACGTCTCTATATGCTCCAAGAAATTCTAGATGATTCAAAGGCTTATACCGTAAGGGGTGCTCCTTGTCCACGAGCTCATCTGGTACTTGTATCACCCCTTTATTAACTGAAAGTAGTTCGAACGAGCATCTCACCTCATTTTCTCTCAGCGTCACTCTATGCCTAGGTGCTCGAATTCGATCGTTGCTCCAAACCTAGGCAAATCAAAGCATGCAAATATTGTTTTAGTCTGTTTCGCAGTGCTTCTGACATGACTAAAGTGTTTTTGGACAAACAAAATCAGTTATGATTACAAAGTACTTTTGGATCATAAAAAGTGTTTTTTTTTACCGAATAAGTAAAGATTTAAAAGAATGTGGGTATGTGTCTATGATATAGTAGTTGTAAGGGCCTACGTTGGAACAACCCATATATAAATAAAGCATGAACTACTTGGTGGCATACCTGAAATCCATCGCCTGCTATGTATATCACGGATGAAGGCAGAGGATCAAAAACTACCCACTCATCATTCTCTGTATTGATCTCCAGACCATTGACATGATTTTGATGGAGTATGGTGGAAAAGTTCTTGTCCGTATGACTGCGTAAACCCACACCAACTTCAAATTTCTTGGGTTCTTTGTAATTTAAAAATCGGAGAGAGTGCGAAGTCGACTGAAAATGATCGTCATGGTACTTCTCTACACCATAGTTCTCAAATACCATTCTTGTCACAGCTTGATCTATTTCTGCCATCACTCTTGCATACAAGTCAACACTCTCACTGTCCAATAAAAAAGAACAAATTAATTAATATTGTAAACAAGCCAATTAGCTATATAGTTCGAAATGGAAAGGCAAAAATACATGTAGAATAAATTATACCGAAATTGGTCGTTTCCATCTGGCCAAAAATGATGTGTGAATTCCTGAGTTTCTTTAGGGTTTTTGCCATTCATAATTCCAATGCCTTTCTGCCGAGGACTAGAAGTTATGTAGCCAGCACGGAAAGGCTTCTCAGGAGTATCGACGGGGAAATTAAACAACTCGTCAAATGCACCAAAGATGGTTTTTTGGAGTTCCGGAGGAACTTTGCTGGGTAGGATTGCCATGAAACAGCCGAGCTCTTCGAGTGCCCGGCAAACGTCTTTCCGTGTTGAGAGCCAAGAGCTTGCCCCCGGCTTCAAGCAGTCCGCGTTCGAGAAATCTACCACTGGAATGCCGGCCACAGTTTGCGAACATGAAGTCATCTTTTTTCTTTTTCACTAGCTGTAAGTGAGGTTTTGAGGGCTCTAAGCATAAACTAGTGCAAGATGCATATCTTCTAAGATGATATTTGTAGCTAGAGTGGTTGACCGTCCCTTTGGTTAACATGGGCTATAGCCCAGGCGGTTCTTTTTTTTATTTTTATAACCCCAAGTTCCAATCAATATAAATGGACCTTAGCTGTGCGTTGACTTGGTGAAACAATGAACTTTTTTGTTTTGAGAACAGAGAAACAATTAACCTTAAAAAACTTTAATTAAAAACCACATTAGAGGCCCAAAGTCAGCATTTGTTGCAAACAAACAACCAATAAACCCAGGGAAGCTTTAAAGTAATACTTTAATCAATCCATATAAAAATCACCAGCATTGTCAACTTCGCATGTGCTTTCTTAAGTTTTCTCTCCATGCTTGCTTTAAACTAAGTCGCTTTCTATACAAAACAGATGAATTCAAATGGAAGAACCTTAATTTAAGAAGAATATGCTTGGGTAGTAACTAGTGAGCACCTTCTCATTCTTGGATTTTAGTAGTTGGCACGCATGAATGAAAAATAATATTCTTTGATAAAACAAAATATTTTATAATTTTTATTGTACATGTCACGCTCTTATATATAGGTCGATTTAGGATTATGTTGAAAAAGAAATACGAAAAATTGTATTTCAAATTCAAAAACCAAAATTTGGCTTTATCTCGAGATTGAAAGCAATAAAAAATAATTTAAAGATAGGTGTCGAATAAAAACTTATAACGACCTAAACTAATTCTATTGGGTTAGTTATTGGTGTGGTCAATTTGATTTAAGATCTAAGATCTCGAACCAAACTAAACGTTGTCCACCCTACATTTTAGTGAATTTACAGTTGTCATTGGGATATAGCTCGTTGGTTGAGTTCTTCCACCTCCATCTATGTGAGTAAAGGTTCGAGACACCTAGGCATCCAATGAAAACTTGTGTATACCCCCCTCACGCAATCGCTTGTGCTAAAAAATAGTGAGTCGAACTAGTGGGCTTTGTAAGAGGATGTGAAAATTGTTTGTTGTCCATTGTTAGAACCCAACATCTGAAGCTTTGCCGGTGTACGGTCGCACGGTCATGTTGTGGGCTGATTGCTACTCTAGTCTAGCCAGGAGCTGGGCCAGGGGCACTTGATCTCAGCCCACAAAACAAAAGGAAATCTAGGGTTTGACTCTCTCTCTCTCTCTCTCTCTCTCTCTCTCTCTTAGGCCATCTCCAATGCAAGGACTCAAACCCAAAATATTGCCCCAAATCTCCCCCAACCCAACAAAATGAAAGACCCAAAATTTGGGAAAACCCAAATTTGGACCCAAATATAGGTCCAAGTATTGCCTGGATCCAAACCTTTCTTGGAGCCCACCTGCACCTCAAAACAGCCCCATGTGCAAAAGTTTCTGTCGTGGCCCCCACCTCCAGATTTTGCAGTTGCTTTTTGTCTCTCTTCACGCCACTTGTCGATGTCCCGTAGAGTAGCCGTTGGAATCCAACGGCTGCATTTGAATAAATGTTGCTGTTTGTTTTTTTTGTATGTATGTACATTTAACTTAAATCAACGATGGGGATTAAATCTATGCTATTTTAACGGTAAAAAAAAAGATCCAACGGCTGAAATTTAAATCCAACGGTCAAAATAATATTTTAAATTAATCCAAATCAGATCCAACCCCAAAACTCACTCCAAACTCTA